GGTTCCTGGTGCCGCTCATATTTTCAGTGGGGCAGCGAGGTGTCGATTCCACTCCAGCATACATGGAAATGTCATGAAATGCTACGCTTAGCAGCCAGGGAGATGGTCTCTTCAATTGTTTGCACCTTGCCCCATCTTTTCTCAAATTCATTTAGCAAAAATTCCTTTGAAAGAAGCAGTGGGAGGCCTTTGCTATGGTTCACAATCATTTTGCTAAAGTTCAGGTCATCAGAGAGCAGAATTTTATTGGAAAATCTTTGCTACTAAGCTGAAGGAGATACGGGCACCTTCAAGCGTCATGACATCAAGATGATGCTGTTGTCACTCAGACGAGCACAAACTCGCGTCGGTGCTTCTCCCCGCAGGAAGCTGCCTCTCAGTGGGTCCAAGCCTGGACTGTTCTGGCTGTGGTAGCAACATGCCACCAAAGGTGCCCTTAGAATAACAGAAAAATGATCCTCTGAAAGCGCCAAACCCCGGGTCAAGGTGCTCACTGATGCCCTGTCCAGAGGCAGCGCCTTCTCAGGGTGCCTTTGGTGAGAGAGCGAATGGGGGTTCTCTCTCACCTCTTCTTTGAGGGTGCTAATTTCATGTGACTTTGTCATCATCTTGGGGGAAGGGGGTAAGCATTTTAATCCATTGACACATGTTCTTAAGTGGAAACAAGAGGCAAAGTAATTCGTTCTGGAGGGTAGGTTTTATTTTTTTAACTCCTTCCTTTTACTTTGTGAAAGGAACATGCAGTAACATGATATTTGCAGCAAAATAAAACAAAAATATGAGGAACATTTTGTGGGGAGAGCTACTGTGTGGAAATGCGAGACACTAAACAGCATCTCAGCAATACATCAAGTCACTCTCGGAGCTTGAAACCGAGAATCCAAGAACTGTAGATTTTTCCATCTGAGTTGGCCTGTGTGTGGCACTGCGGGCTTTCATAATGACCTGGAGTGCGGTTGAGGTGATCTTGGCTGGGCCACTGAGTGTGTGAAGGAGGCAGTTCAAGGTCAAGCCACTTGTACCATGTATTGCTGGCACCTTGTGGATTAAGGGTACCGTGATCTGAGAGCCAGGGTTTCCGACTGCGCCATCTCTGCCTTTAATGGAGCAGGTGCACCTGGCCAGGTGATGCAGATTGACAAGGAAGTGCAGCTAAGTCCTGGCTGCACTTGGAAGCTCCACGGACAGCTTGATTTCCCACATAAAGGAGCTCAGAATTCCAAAGGCAACGCTATCGCCACAGACGATAGACCAGTGCCTGGCCTGGTCCCAGTTGCACTGCGGTGAGAGCAGACTCTTGTCCTCCATATCTGCCCCTAGTGGGGTGGAGATAAGTACGTAAGAGGTTAAAGTTTACATGTACAACGCTACGCTTTGGGCAGGAAATGCAGTGGGCGCCTTGGCGGAGATGTGGCAGAGAGGTTAATGAACCTGCACACAGGCACCGCCAGCCAAGGGTGAGGACAGAGCTGCCAAGACGCAGTTCCACGGAATGGGAAGCATGGTGACAGCAGAGGGCACCCTTCTCACCGAGCAAACGTGTCTTGCACTCACCCTTCAGCCTTTCACATCTTGTCCTCTCAGGAGCTGGGCCAGTGTGTGTAGTCATCTTGGGTCCAGCCACGTCTCCAGGCAGTGGCAGCAGCTGCTGACAGCGAGGAATCCCGAGGGGCTGCAAGCTCAGGCCTCCGATCTGTGGTTAGGCAGGCTATTCCAGACATCCTTCCCTGCTTTGTTTTTCATAATTTCCCAAACTACAGTCACAGCTCTTACATACATATGCCTGGGCAGTCAATACTTGTGCCTGAATCAATGTTATTTGGAAATACGATTTTTTTAAAGGAGAATTTGAGCATCACTATTTTCTGTGATGACAGGAGCTGTTTCCTAAGGGTGGTGGTGTTGGTCTACACCCACGTCCCCAGTAATTGCTGGCATCACCGATAGCATCTGGTTTGTTCCGTCACAGGCGTGCTTACCCATATGCAGCCACGATGTTCTTTCATTGACACGGTGGCTGTCCTCTGCATGTGCGTGCACGCATAAGTAACTCAGTCAACACAGCTTCCAACTCGGCTCTCCAGCCAAACCTCTGGGACCAGGTGTGGAAGAGACTCTGACAACGTAAAACCCTGCATCTACCGTGAATTGGCTAAATGTTCGAATAAGCAGATTTGGTCCCATTTTGCACTTGGCACCTGTCAAGACACTTATATTCATTTCAGGCTTTTGGGTTAGCTCGCTCTGATGCTGCTTGTTCTTCCATAAATAACAGTGAACAACGAGCGTTCACTGTGTACTAGGTACCGTTCTAAGTGACTCAATTCAATAAGCCATCCCAGCAGCCCGAGGAGGCAGATGCTCACTCGCAGGTGGGGAATGGAGGTGGCGATTCCGCTCCTCACACATACCTCACTGCCCAGGACTGTGTCAACACCAGGCCCTGGGTCATGCCATCCTTTGGATTTCTTGTGCGCTGCCTGTAGTGTTGAGCACCCAGGGGCCTTGGGGGTGTGTTGCTTGACTCGCGTCCTTAGAGGAGTGTTGCAGGGACAGGTGTCTGGCACGGCGGGTAAGGTGTTGCTCCTACCCACAGCAGAGTGCCTGGGTCTGTGTTCTCTTTGCTTCGGATCCCAGCCTGGTGCACGTGGGAGGCAGCAGGCGGAGGCTCAGGAAGTTGGGCCCATGCCACCCATGTGGGAGTCCCAGGCTGAGTCCCCAGTCCCTGGCTTTAGCTTGACCCAGCTCTGGCATTTTATTGTGGGCACTTGGGGAGTGAAAACAGCAGATGGGAGCTCTTTCGCTCCCTCTCAGCCTTTCAGATAACCAAAATTAAATTAAAATGACACTCATGTTCCATTTCACATCACCCCAGCGTGCACCCATGGCTACTAAAACAGTTCATGAAAATGCAGGATCAACACACTTGGATTGAGAGCAAAGTCACGTCTTCCAAAACGTCAGGCTAAGCACTCACTCCTTCCTAACACGACTGCGCTTTCTGACGCTCATCAGAAACCTGCTGCTGCTCTTGGGCACACGCACCTGCTTCTCAGGCTCCCTGCAAATTGTGATAACCTCATTTTAAAAATAGAAGCTGCCAGGCTGAGTTGGAGCTGGGAACAGAGATAAAAATGGCCATTTTATCACCAGGCATTGCTTCCGTGCCCCTGGGATAGCAGCGCTTCCCTCCCACGTGGTCAATGCTGATTGGAAACAAATCCTCAACGCCAACATCGCAGCTCTTTGGATGCTTTTATTGTCAACTCGAGCACAACCTTAGACACAGCCAGCAGAGACTTCTTAGCACATTTCTTGGGGAGTGGGGGTGGGGGAAACATGGATTCTTGCACAAAAGATTGTATTCCCATTCTTCTAATATGCTCCCATCAGGCACACCATTCACACTCAATGCTCAGCTTGCGTGGCATTCATGTTCATGTACAGCGCTGAGATTTAAAAATCCTGTCTTAAGCAACAGTGTTGTATTCTCAAGGCAAAACAAGAAAGAAAAGATTCCTGCTACTAGAGGCAGGAAGAAGAGACTACCCGGGAAGGCCCAGGCAGGGACAGAGACCACCCGGGAAGGCCTGGCAGCTCCTGAGACCCGTGGTGTGTCCAGTAGCCCGTGCAGAGGTAGAAGGTGACTGTCCCCAAAGGAACATCTTAGGAGGAACAAAATCTGTGGGTTGTAAAAATGCCATGCTCTCTCCTCTGTCACGCCCGGGTCAGCGGAAGGAGCTGAGATGAGATGACCAGCCTGTCGGTGATACGAAGCCCTGACCGTGCCCTGACTGGGCACTTGGGCCCTGTGCCCACATGGAACCTGTCGCCTCCAGCATTTCCCCAGGGCCTCGGGTGCAGCTGCGTGTCATTGTCCAGGCTGCTGGACATTGCACCAGAGCCCCACAGTGCCCCATGTGAGGGAATGGGAGCCAGGAGGGACTGTCGCAGCATACAGGCATGGCCGAGCTGAGGCACTTCAGGCAGGAGGGACAGACGTTCTCGGGGTGTGGCCTGCAGCAGGTCCTGTCTACACGGCCCCTGTACTCTGTGTGGTGAGAGATGCAGATTCTTGTACATGGTGTAGACCCTTCAGATGCGCTGCAAATGCCTCATCTGACACTTGGATTCAATCCATCCGTGTTAGTGGGAGTGACCGAGAGTGTGTGGTTCTGAGAGCAGGGATGGCATGTAGGATGGCACAGGGGAGCGAGCGCCGGCCCTTTGGGCTTGTGGGCGTGTTCACAGCCCTGGACACGCTCCTTGCTGACAGTTCCAGTCCCATGGCCTGTATCCTGTGGACGTGTCGTCATGAAACGGACCGGGAAGCTCCTGGAGTGAGTCCTGAGTAAGTGATCAATTCTCTGTCGCTCCCAGAGAAACCCGTTATCTTGAAGTCCGCAGCGATTAAGCGGAATGAAGCTGAGGTTCGACTTCCTTCCCGCCCTGTAACCCTTCAACTCTCAAATGAACTCAGCATTTCCTCATTTAGTTGAGCAGCCAATGTTTGCACAAGTGAATGCTTCTTCCTGAGTGTCTCTTACAAAGAATCTGGAGGAGTGCGGGGATGAGCAGGTGGCTGATCGCTGCCCAGGGATCCTGGGGAACAGAGGCTACGTGGGAACATTCACAAGGCACTGCTCTTACAAAGAGATGAACACAGGTTTGAGTCTTGTCACAGTGACACAAAGAACCACAGCGAGCCGTGCCGGGGACGAGCCTCCGCTTTGCCAGTGGCTATTTTGTGGTGTTTACTAAAAGTGAAACATTGGAAATGGAGCTTGGGAAGCCTCTGTAACACGCTGTGGCATCTCTGTGCCATAATCCTGGGGCCTGCCAGTCCCTCGTGTGGGTCCCACTCGGCTCTGCTGCTTGCCATGGATGTAGCGCAAAGGGTCCTGGAGCCCATGTGTTTTACTTTTAGGGAGAACTGAGCATGTGTGTGTGTGTGTGTGTGTGTGTGTGTGTGTGTGTGCAAATGTGTAAAAAGGATAAAAAGCCATGGATGAAATCAGGATGCTGTGCTTTTCCAACCAAGCGGCTGTGGGGGCAGCGGTGCCCAGTGGCAGCAGTGCCCAGCTACACGTCGAACCAGTGGTCGCCCATGCAGGTGCGGTTCCACTCGCAGCTGCAGTGCCAGCACCACTCGAGTCGGCACTGGGGCTGTGGACACTTCATGTGCATGCACCCTCCTGTGGGGACAAAGGACAGAGTTCAGCGGGTTCGCGGCCATTGCTGGGAGGACACTCAACTCCCACACTGCTGACCCACAACACGCCCGGCTGGGATTCGCTTTCTCCGTGGACAAACATGGATGCAACCGAGGCAGAGGGAGCCTGAGCTGGCGCTAACGAGGGAGAACTCTGACGCTGGGACATTCATTAAGAAACAGATGAAACCTACCTGCCCTCACTGTGGGTGGGAGAGCCACGATGGAAGTCCATTTGGAAAATGCTAAGGGAACTGAAACTGCATCTGCCATATGACCCAGCTCTCCCACTTCTGGGAATAGCAAAGGAAGTGAAATCTGCATATGAGAAAGTGACCCGTAATTCTACATGTACAGCAGCACAATGTACAATAGTAAGGACATGGAAACAACCCAGACGCCCATCAAAAGAGGAATGGATGAAGAAACTAGTACATCTACTCTATGGAATATAACTCAGCCACGAAAAATAATGAAATTCTGCCACTTGCAGCAAAATGGCCATCATTATGCTCAGTGAAATAAGCCAATGCCAAAAGCACAAATATCCTATGTTCTCTCCGATACAAGGCGACCTTCCTGCAAAATACAAGATCAATGGCTACATTAGTGAGCACGCATATACATGCATTTATAGAGTGTCTGTAAATGTAGGCACGTATAACCTGGAGTGGAGACACATTACAGTAGGCATCTCTACTTCTGGATAAAATACGGACTCCAATGAAACTGTGAAATCTATCTTGACACTAGAACGCTGGGCTTCGTGTCACTGCATGGGCAATGCCAGGATGCACTTCAATAGCAGAATGATGGGCTCGTGACCGCTGTCAAAGGACTAAACTATTACACGATCCGGGAAAGCAGTGGGTGGAGGAGCGGTTGGCTAGAGGGGAAATCCCTGAGCCTAAGGAATTATATCATGACAAATAAAAATAAAAACATTATCAATCAATAAAAGTAAATGGATAGAACTGGATTATTCCTCCAAATACAACAATTCCAAATGCTGCAGCTGAATGTCTGGTCTCCTGCTGGGTCTCCCACTTGGGGAGCAGTGACCCAGTTACTCAAAACAGTGCTGTCCCCAGGCTAGGTCGGCGGGAAGCTAGGGGTGAGAGCGGAGCGAGTACTTGAATGTCGCCATTGCCCTGTGGGCTACAGGGGCCCAAGTGGCATGGTAACTGCTGGCCCAGACAGCCGCCCCACTTGGGGCTGCATCGGCTCGCCTCCCTGCTGGTGAAGAGGGTGCTGTCTGTAGCACGCTGTAGGTTCAGGACTGCTGTTGATCGAGTTTGCCCGATAACTCAGGCAAACACTGTTTCTTTGAATTCCACGTGGCACCGAATCTGCTCCATTGTTCAACTTTGCTAACTGTTTTTTCATTTCTCTTTTCTCCTTGTTCCATATTATCCACGGAACTACTCCAGTAGGATCTTATTTTTACTATTATGACCCTCGCGTGAGAACAGCCACTAACCTGAAATACATCTGACTGTGTAGCTATGGTGTTTGTGTCTGGGTAGCCTGGGTCTGTTGAAAGACTCCCCCTTTGCTGCCTCCTTCTGCTTGGGTTCAAGATCAGAAAATGCTACAGGTATGTGAAAAATGCAGGAGGCATCCCATAACACCTCTGAAGTAGTTTCCATTTTGGAATGAGTCGTTTTCAAGGCACATTTAATGGTTGTACAGGTACGGCGTGACTAACAGGATAGCGCAGCGTGCCGGGGGAGAGGCATTTAGGTCTGCAGTCTCGGCTGTAGTGCGGCTCCCCCGACACCCGCCCTTCCACGTGCCGGCTCCCTGAGCTTGCCTCTGCTCCCCATTCCAGCAGGAGCAGGCCAGTCACTGGCTTCCCAATGGCACTCCAGCCTGAGGAGAGCTGATGGAGGTCCACAGGGTTGATTCTCTGTCCCCAGGACACTGTTGTTGCAGAGCTAGCATTGTGGACCCCGTCAAGCCTGCTCCCACCACTCTGAGATCCTGCACAGCTGGCCAGCTGTTGGCCACTGACCACCCAGGCTGTTGATAATTCACATACAGAGACCGTGGGAAAAGCTACATCTGCTGCTCGGTTTTGCTGGCATTTGGGATCCTCTCGTCTCACATGCCCACACACATGCATCACATTTAGGAAGGGCTCCGAGCACGCTGCCTCTGATGGACGTATCCGGGATGAGTGGTGGCAGAGCATCACGGTCCCTCAATGGGAGTGGCGCAGACCCAAGGGATCCAGTCATACAGGCCAGGGTGTAGACAGAGCTAATGTTGCAGAGCTGGGCAGGCCACAGGAGGGTGGTAGGAGGTGACAGCCACAAAAGGGATACCCGGGCAGCCACAAAGTGGCTGGGAGGCCACCAGAGAAGAAGGAAGAGGCCACAGCCGCTGGCCGGGCCAACCACGTATCCTGAGCCATGTCCCATACCTCTGTGCTCGCTTCCCAACCGCACAGGCACGCACCATCTGCCTGAAAGCCGTGAACTTGCTCATGAAGTATTCTTGTGCAGCAAGAACAGCAGTAACTGGGAGCAGCATTTCTGGGGTGGGGAGAGGGGCTGGCAGGGGGCAGGTCATGATTTGCTCAAACCGCACAAGTTGGTGGGAACGGCACAGACAGCCTGGGCCACAGGGTACATGGGCTTGGGAGGGTGAGCGGCAGGAGTGGGAGTCCCCAGCCTAAATTCCATTTCTGTCTCTAAGCCATACAGCACCCACTGGGAAAAGCCTGAAGGAACACCCAGGAGACGCCCTGAGCAGGCACTGCATGGGTGGGGGCAATGCCTGGCCGTCTCCCACAGGCACGGCAAGGGGACAGCGATGCCTGGAAAGGGAAAAAGGAACTTGGCTCGGGAACAGAGCAGCTCATAGCCCTGCAGTGTGCCGGGCAGGCAGAGTGAGGCCCCTGGTAGGATCTGCAGGATGTCCTGGGGCCAGGGTGGGTCACAGCGGGAAGCTGCTTGCTGCGTGACACACCTACTGCGTGATGGCCCAGAGCCTGAGCTCCTTGCCGCCCAGTGGGGGACCGTGATGGAGAGCTGGGCTTCTGTCTGTGGCCTGGCTCTAGCTATGGCTGCTGCAAGCATTTGGGGAGTGAGCCAGCAGACGGAAGATGTTCTCTCTCTGCCGTTCAAGGAAATATATTCAGAAAAAAATTTAAAAAGATGAAAGAAGAAAAGAAGAAAAGATACTAAAGCCCTGGTTCCCTCCCACCAGGGGCCAGAGCCTTAGTTCCTCCGGGGAGATGTGCCAGGAACAACAAGGCGAGATTTGTGACTCAGGTTAAAACGACTGAAGGGGAGAGCCGAGAGTCACAGCCGGGTCAGACGGGGCCCACCGAGCCGTGTGGACGGCCGTGAGTCTGCAGCTCGCCCTCCCCGGGCAGGGCCCGCCTCACCGTTCTTCTCCACTGGCACATGGCACCGTGGGCAGGGCTTGGTGGTCTTCTGGATGGTCTCTTTGGAGGCCTCCTCCCAGCGGGCTTGCTCAGCGGCCCTCTCGTCGACCCTGTAGGCCTGGGGAGACAGAGCAGGCGCGTCAGCGTCCCGGTGCAGGGGGACAGCGAGTGAGGATGCGTGAGCATGGATACCCGTGTGACACACAGCCCTGGCACATGGCCCAAGGGCAGGCAGACGGCAGGGCACGGGAGGAGCCAGAGCTCTCCTGAGGGTGTGTAGAAGAGCACCTGGCTGTTCTGTTCCTGGCGGACCGTGACTTATTCAGGTCACCATCACCGCAGGGCCAGGTGCCGCCCAGAGAAACGGTGCCCACCACCCCACGCCTGCGCAGTCAGCTGACCCTGCCTCACCAGCGCCTTCTCGGGGAATGCGGAGTCACGGCCATAGCATACCTGTCCCCCTTACGTGCCCAGCCTCGTGGGCCTTAGCGCTCAGGGGCAGGCATCTCTGCCTACCCAGGAGATGGTAATGAGATGGTGAACTCCGTGACCAAGGCCAGCGGCCCACGGCCAGCACACACAGCCAGACGTGCTGTTACTGGCGGCTCTGGGTTCCAGCTAGATCACCCGGGATTAAGAAGCCGAGGGTTACGCCAGCTCGGTGGGGTCCAGGAGACATAGCTGCAGCCCAGCCTGCCGGCGGCCATCCAGGCAACAGGTCCCTGGAGATGGGCGTGTCCTCTGAGTGTGTCCACGCTCTCATCAGCCCCTTCTGGAGCGCTCTGGCTTTAGAGCAGCGTGTCCACCGCCTTGGTCACCGGTTCTTGGGCTTTGGCATGGCATGGGCAGGTGTTGGAAATGCCTCTAGGGGGCGTTATCTGTGAATTCTATCAACCTGCAGAAGTTCCCATGCGTACTTCCGTGGAGACAGAGAAAGGGAAAACAAAAAAATAAAACAAGAATAGAGAGACAGGCCAAGAGCCAGGCTGTCGCAACTAGGATCGCTAGGACAAGTCCAGTGGACAGGTGCACGGTTCTGGGCCACCAGGAGTGGGCACGGGCAGGGCGTTGCGGGTACCGTGTCTGGCAATGCCTGCAACGGCCAGGAGGTGGTCAGGCTGGGGTGAAGCTGGGAGCTGGCACCTCAGTGTGCGCCTCCCACGCAGGTTGCAAGGACTCAAGTGTTTGAGCCATTGTCTGCTGCTGCCCAGGGTGCCCGTTAGCAGGGACCCACAGTCGGGAGCTGAGCTGGGACCAGGAGATGTGGACAGGAGATGTGGGCGTCGCCCCCGTCGCCTCCAACCTCACTGTGTACTGGCTACATCGGCCCTTGAGCACACAAGCTAACCTGGGTGCCCGCGTGCCAATGCCAAGGAGGCAGGCGCAGTCTCGATGCAGCGTGTGCAGGGGCACACTGAGCGCCTCTCCTGGTCCTGCAGCCTTCCTTCCAACCGGCGGATGCCACTGTCTGGGAGCAGCCTGCCCCCTGCTGGTGATCAGGAGAATGGCCGCTCCTTTCAGGGCCTGGAACTATCATCAAGAACACACTGCCCAGCTAAGTGCGGCAACAACACTCCTTTTGTTGCTTTCGTAACAGGTGTTTCATCAGCTTGCTCCCTCCCCAAATGCCCGCAACAGTCCAGGCTGGGCCAGACAAAAGCCAGGCACCTTATCTGGGTTCCCCATGTGAGTGGCAGAGCTGGCTTGTGGGGTGTGTGTTAGCAGCTAGCTGGGTTAGGGTGGAGGTGGAGCAGGGTTCCAGGCACCCTGATTCAGCGTTAGGGTGCCTGGATCAGCAGCTGCACCTGCTGTGCCACAATACCCACCCTACACTCTTTTCTTGCTATTTTTTTTTTTTTTGTGGGAAGGGGTGACATACGTGTGAAAGAAGGGTTTAAATGCATTAGCCATCAGGGTGCTGTGTGGCTTTGATGGACTTTTAAATCCCTAGGCTGCAAGCTCCCCCTCAAGAGATTGTGGGAGGTTGTTGGAAGGGGGCCTGTGCAGCCCCCTAGGCTGATGGGATTCTGGAGGCAGTTCAGGATGAGTGCCCCCGGGATCTGGGAACTCTGAGCTACTGTCACCCCCCGCGTTATTTCATCAGGTCCTTTTGGTTTAACATCTGGTTGGAGACTGGGCTTCCTGGGCTAGGAGGTAACTAGATGGGGCACATGAGCCATCTTCCCCACCAGGGCCGGGACTGGTGTCACGATACCGGGGTGACGGGAGCTAGTTCTGCCAGCCCGACTCCTAAGCTGTCAGTGAGCAGGGGATTTAAGGCAGTTGGGCCTCAGTTCTTGATTTCTCATCTCCTCTGTGCTTGGCTCAGAAATGCGCTCCGATGGGCCTTTTGCTGTGCTTGTTCTCTGCTGTTTGTGGGCTGAGCCGCTGTGTGGAGGGAGGGGTGACCCCGGGTTGCGGGGAAGGGAAAGATGGGTGATTCAACTAGGGGCGTCCACCCGTGTTCCCCAGTGTCGTTTCCATCTTATGTTTTTAAGATTTTTGACTTGGACGTCTAAGAGTTGCACATGCTCATGGGCCACAGGCGAGCACCTTGCGAGCGTCCAACTTTGTGTGTGTTGCTTGGCAGGAAGCAGTCTCCCTCAAGAGTCGAGCGCCATCTGGTGGCTCCGCGCCTCTCTGCTGCTCTAAGTGAAGGTGCCCAGAATTGATTCATTTCTGGCAGTGGAGACCAGGGGTTAAGTCTGGGGCGCAGTGCGTGTTGTGCATGTGCGATGTGTACGGCACACCCGTGTGGCATGTGTGAGTGTGCATGAATGAGTGTGGTGTGTATTACAGACACATAGTGTATAGGTGTGTGTGTGTGTGTGTGCAGTTAGTTCTGTAACTGATTCCCCGCCCCCTTGGCCCTGTGCGTTTATGAAGTGCACGCGGCATGCATACACGGTACAGACTTGCAGACTGGGGGAGGGATTTACAGTGGGGAGGTCTTCCACAGGGAGCTGGCCCAGATGCTGAGCCCCTGGAATGCAGTTAGCCCCATTTGCAGTGGTCAGCCCAGCTCCCTGGCTGGGGTTGGGGTGCTGAGCTCGAATGTGGGGGTGAGGGAGTAACGGTCCCATGGACTTGTCAGATTGTGTCTCTCAGGGTGGACGCTGGGCTGCAGGAGCTTCCTGGAGCATCAGGGTTTTGGAGAGGGAGTGGACGCCACTGCCGTGCCCTTGAACTCCCTGAGCCCCGAGCCAAGATGAACCCTTGCCTTTATGCTCACCGGCTCTGTCAGAGCAGCAGAAAGTGGACCAAGTGGTCAGTGTGTGTGTGTGTGTGTGTGTGTGTGTGTGCAGGTACACACACAGGTGTGCCTTCATGTTCCTGCAGACTGGACCCGTGGCTTCCTCTCTCTTCAGACCTTTGTAGCATTAAGCATACAAAAGGAGGCCACACGGAGGTGCTCCCAGCCTGTGTCCTGCTGGCCTTCAGAGCAGTTCACAATGCTCCACAGTGGGTCCAGGGGGCCCCCACATTTCCCCACCTCCCTGAGGTGCAATGACTGGGCAGAGGGGGAGGGGAAGTGGGCTGGTGTTGCTGGGTGCTGACCGCAGCAGCCAGAGTCAGGGGTTTAGAAGTGGCATCCATCGCACTGCTTTACTTATACCAAGAGATGACTGGGAAATGCCAACCCAAACCAAGGGGTGGCGAAGGTCATTTCCACCTGCCTCTGGTGTGCACCGTGCTTGTGGGAATGGTAGGGAACAGCCAAGCGGTGACTGCGGTGCAATATGGGGGCCAAAGGCATCTGAGAGCAAACCTGGGCAGGTGGCACAGCCCCTGGCCTAGAGGACAAAACTGCGGGGACCGTGGGGGTGTCGGGTGAGGAGCAGTCAGCTGGTGACAGCCGCTCCTGTCTTCCTTGCTGACTGCAGCCCAGCTGTGCCCTCAGGGCTCCCGGCATCCGGGGCTGTTCCCCAGAGCACCTGTGCGGAGATCTGCACGGGGGCTCACTGCTGCCTGCCCAGCCCGCTTCTGTTCCCGCCCTCCTGCATCACCACCTGCCCTCTAGGAATTGCAACAGGAATTTGTCACCTCTTACCCATCTTCCACTCCACTGCCCAGACCAGGGGTGGGATTTCCTGCCTCACACCCACCTGCTGCCCTGTGCCCCCTGCTGTCCTCACTGGTGCCCAGTGCCTCTGGGCCCACACTCATCAGGCATCCAGCAGAGCCCTCTGTCTTGCTCCGGCTTGGCGCTGAGTGTCCATGTTCTCCCCGGCTGCTGGGAATGCTGGCTGAGGAAGAGTCAGTCGTGGCCAAGATACAATGCGGGAAGAGTCTCCGGCAGAGGCCGCCTCGCTTGGCCACCGCCCTGCGCCGAGTGGGGCGACTCGACTCCCGTCCCACAACCAGGTACATGCCCAAAGCCAAGTCCACAGCCTCCTCACCTCTGCTCTCAGCCCCCAGGTGCCCCTGCCCCTTCTGCAGCTGTGCCCGCGCGGCTGTCATCATCCCCAGCTGCCCAATCCTCTGCCTTCTCCTGGAGGTGCTGCTCCTGGGCAGTGCCCCCGAGACGGCTCCTGCGGGTGAGGGGGGACCCCACCCCTCCCTGCCCGAGGACCCACAGTGTGGAGCAGGTGTTAGAGGAGGAAGCCCTCCTGCCCGTCGCTGGGTGAGACCTGGTGCTGGGTGCCTGTGTGCTGCACAGGGCTGTGCCAGGGCCAGGCTTGCTGCTGGCAGCCCCGCTTCCACCTCTGCTTGTGGACAGCTTCCTTGACTGTGGCCATCTGTGGTTAAGGTCAGTTCGATCTTGTTTCATTTTGCTGAATGAAATGTGGATGCTTTAGTGTTTTTTTTTTTTAACTGGAGCAATATAAATTTTTTGCACTAAAGAAGAAAATGAATGAGATTTGGCTCTTGGGCACCTTGTGGCTAAGCAGCTTTCTCTTCCGCTTACTACTCTTGTTCCTAAATGAACATAACCAGCAGCGGCCCGGGGTGGCCGTAAGTCTCTTGTCTACTGAGCATGTGGGCAGCACCTGCCAGGCCAAATCTGCTCTCCGACTCACCTCCCGGGCTGCCGTCATCCTGGGATGGGGGCGTCTCAGAGCCCCTTGGGATTCCTCCCGTCCCCTCAGGTGAACTAAATGCTCAGAGGATCTGCAGAATCCTGAATCTGCCCCTCCGCCCAGAGCCACCAACACGGGAGCTGCTGAGGAAGACCTGCGTCCACTAGTTACATTCATCTAAGCCCCGGCAGGGTTGGGTCCTCGCACCTGCCAGATGTCTGCTGGGCAGCCCATTCTGCACGGGCAGATTTCACAGCATTCAGATCTTTAAAATTCTCCTGGGAAACTCAAATACATGGGCAGTTGTGAAGCCATGTGGGACACTTGCCTGGCTCCTGTCCCAGCTGTCACCCAGCTCCTGTCTCCATCTCCCACCCAGCTTGCTGCTCATGGGCCGGGGAAGGCGGCAGAGGACACGGACGTGGGAGACCTGGCTAGACCGTAACTCACTCAGCCTGGGCTCGGGTGGGTGTCTGAGGTCTCTGTCCCTCTGCCTTTCAGATGATTAGAGAAATAAAGGACAGATCTGGGGGTTCTGTGGATACCAAGCTTCTGTCAACAGAACGACTCACAGACTGACCGCACGGCTTTGCCGACTGAAGGCGCCCTAGGTTTTCTGTCGAGAGGAAATTTACCCACTGTGCTGGGCTGTTACTCCTCTCTTCTGGGGTTTGGTGCGTCGTAATTAACTAATAAGACGTGTTTGCCTTTCCCTAGGCCCAGGAGAGTGCACCTGACACCAAGGCTCCGTAGTCTTTTCGATCATGGCTTGGATACAATGTAGCAGGGTTTATAAGCTGGATGAAGACAGGCACATCCTTGCTGAGCACACTGCTTCTGCACCTGTGCTCATGGGGCTTGTTCTCACCAAGGACTCAGGACAAAGCAAGCAGGGTTCCTACGGATTTCTCTGAGTCAGCGATCGCTAACGGGGTTGGTCTCCACGGTACCTGAGCTCCGGTTCCCGAGGCCTCCATTGGTGCGCTGCACTCCCCCTCATGGTATGTGTCTTTACAATCGCGGCAGAAGATGAACTGCAAAGAAACAGAGCCGTGTGAGTGAGGGACAGTGGGTGGCTGCCTTCGGCTGCAGCCTGGTCTCCCTGTGACTGGCAGAATCACTTCTAGCAAAGATAAACCAGGTGCTCGTCTGATATGCATTGGGTCAAGTCCTGAGCTCCCAGGACCGTATGGCTTAGGGCTGGAAGGGGGCAGTGCAGCTGAGGTGAGGCCACGGGGGACCTTCCAACTTCCCCTGGGGCCCCAGCTGCAGCTGGGTGAGAAGGGAAGTGCCCCCTTGGTGCCCTATGTTGCCTGCGTTCCTGGCACTGTGCCCACAGGATGTCCTTCACACTTTGGCCAGTGCCAGCCTTGCCCCAGAAGGTGCAGTAGGGCTAAGGATCTGTAGTGGGGCCCAACTGGGGCACTCTAGAGGAGCTACCAGAGCTCTCTGGGTGTCTGAAGACCTCAAGCCAGGGTGGTGGCTGTCTTGTGCGCCCACAGTGAGATTCCTACTGTGCCCAGGCCTGTGCACCGCCGTGTTCTGGACTTCCTGGCCACAGAGCCCATGCGGAACAATCAGGGCAAGAAATTTGCTCCTTCCAGGGCACACTGGACACTCAACAGTCAGGGGCCATGTTTCTGGATGGCAACAATTCTGATGAAGTGTTTCAGCCACAGTCATACTGTGTGTGTGTGTGTGTGTGTGTGTGTATGGGTAGACAGGGGTAGTCTCACTTGATTCCCAGGGAAAGGTATGCTTTACAGACCCTGCCCTGGAGCCCAGAGATCATGGTGGGGAGGAGGCCAGGCCACTTGGGGGACCCGAGCTTGGGGTACCTGCTCCAGAAGACCAGTCGCCATTCAGGGCACAGAGGCTCTCAGGGATGGGCGCTCCTGCTCCCTCTGCCCTGGCTGAGCACAGGGATGGGTGCTCCTGCACCCCGAGCCTTGGCCGAGCACCCCCTGTGAGCCCTGTGACTAGTTGGTGGTGGCTGCCCCACTGTCACCTGCCAGGCTGACTTCACGCAGAGCTGGGCCAGCAGTGTCTGCAAGACTCAGAGGTGCCTGGAGTCGGGGACATGGTTAGGTTGCCATTCGGCAGCACAAGACAGGAACTGGGCTTGGTTTACTTGAGACAAGCTTTGCTGGAACTGGAGAAGCCACCAGGACACAAACAGCACCTGATAAAGCTGGCTTCTCAAAAGCCAGCTCCCTTCCGCTCTGGTGCCGCGGTGGCACGATTTCCCATCACGCAGACCTACTTCGCTCCTCTCTGGGTCTGATGTCTTCTTGTAAAGACTCATCACGAAATGGTTTTTGCTGTTTAATTTCTGCCCCCTGTGAAGGCCCTGGCTGTATAGCCTGTGGGCTGCAAGCTTCCACGTGTGGTGGGAGAGGCTGTGCGTGTGTGTGCCTGTTTGACACCCTTAGATAAATCACCGGTACCACCAGGCTGGAGCTTCTAACATCTCTGAGTTGAAAGCGAATCCAAGGCATGGTGAGTTGGGCCGCCGTGGTAATTCTTGGGCAGTGCACCTGCTGATCTTGCCTTCTGCCTAAGCCCTGCCACTGCACTTGCCCGTGGTTCTGCTGGGAGGAGGCGGCCATGGGACTCTGTTGCCCAGGGCCACTGCCCAGCGGTCTCCACCCTCTGCCTCTCGGAGAAGCGGCTCTGATGGCTCCGCATGACAGGAGAATCGCTTCACATCTTACTAGCCAGGAGATGAGATATAAAATCAGTTTCACGGTGGAGGAACACCCGGGAAGTGGATCAGTTTGTCAGAATAAATAGGCCTTTCCTGACATGTTCCCCTGCGCCCTGCTGCTGCGGGAGGGGCTCACGTGGGAAGGAGCATGCATGGCGGAGGGCCTTGCCAGGCAGCGTGGCCAGTGGCAGGGAAAGGCTGTGTGACAGGCGGGGATGGCACCACATGGATGCACCTGCCAACTGGCTTCCACTCCAGGAAAGTTAAAGTTAGCCTGAGTTGTGGTGTGGTGGGTTAAGCTGTCTGTGGTGATGCTGGCATCCCCTTAAGAATGCTGGTTCGAATCCTGGAAGTTCCTGTACCAATCTGCCTCCTTGTTAATGAGTCTGGAATGAGCAGATGAAGGCCCACGTGCAGGGGCCCCTGCCACCCGCATGGGAGCCCGGATGGAGCTCTTGGCGCTGGCATTGGTCTTGGTCCAGAACTGGTTGCTGTGGCCGTTTGAGGAAAGGACCAGAGAACCGAAGTGCTTGCTCACACTCTGTGTGTCTGTGTGTCTGTGTGCCCCGCTCTCCATTACTCCATCTTCAACAGAGAGAGAGAAAACTCTAGGTTCAGATACATCATGCAGTGAGTCTCTCTCAAGTGAACAGAAGGTTTGATTTGATCTTGACAATTTCAGGTTTTCAATGACATTGCCCAGGTGCTTGCACAAACGCTCAGTCCTTCATCCCCTCCCTGCACGCCCACAGTGAGCCCACAGGGGTGCCCTGGGAGGCGTACACGCGGCACTTGAGGCCTCCTGGGTGCTGTGGCGGCTGCCAGGCCGAGGTGGTCCCGGGGTCAATGGGGATTCTCCGACTCTCCTTTTGGGGATGTTGTATCTGTGGGAAGCTAGGTGTTTTTGAAAGGACCTGCCATGAAAACGAAACAAGTTCTCTGTGAATATTCTGGAACAGTAGATGTGGTTACTTAAAGTGAAATGAAACTTTTCTGTCTTTTCCAGGGATGACTGAGTTGCTGAGATGCAGGCTTGTGTGGTGCTTTGCGGACCCACGGCTCTAACGCCTGGAACGATCAGGGAGCATTCCTTGTGGTGGCCCATGGGTGTCAGGAGAGGCTTGTCGAGCTGCGAGGGTATTGTGGGCAGAGTCCTGGCCAACACAGGCATGGGCAGAAGCCAACCCCTCCCGGAGCCACTGTGCTGGGCCCAGTCTGCAAACCGTCCAGGAGGGATGGCTGCTCCCAGGAGCTGGCAAGGGAGAAGATAAAGCTGACTCCAGTGTCTGGCGCCCACTCTGCTGACCTGCCTCCTGTCCCCACGTGCTTGGAGCTTCCATCCACCCACAGGCTGCCACATCCCAGCCGTCTGCCTGGGCTCCCCTCTTGGGACAGTTCTAACCAATGACACTCCTGTCCATCAACTGCATTTTCAATAACAATCCTTTTCTTTTCAAAGTGCAGCACCCTTGTGTTAGCAGGTTCCCTACACTCTGCTCACTTGGGAAGCAGTCAGATCGCCACCTGTGCTGGCTGCATTCCCATGATGTCAGTGTCACCCATCAACCCTGCTCATCTGACCTGCTGTCCCAGGTGCTGCTGTGAGGAACCCAGTACGAGGGACGACCATGGAAAAGCGGCCGGCTGTAGGCAGGGGAGTGTGTCCCCATCACCCGTGTGGGCTCCCCTGACCCCGAGGAAGGAGGGGGATCCCATTTGCGCACTGCAGAGTCAGGTTCTGCCCACCCTGACCCCGCGCCATGCACTCTGCATGTGTCCAGCCAGCAGCGCAGCCAGGAAGCCATGTCCTCACCATATAGCTCTTTATATGGGAAATGTGCACATGTACACACAAACGAGGGCTAAGACCCTGTGGAAAAGAGTAAAAAGATGCTTATTTTGGTGCAAATGTTTTTGAAATGGTTGCCCAGCTTTTTTTTTTTTTTTTTTTACTGATACGTATTTCTCATGAGTGTTGGAAGACGTCCCGTATGCTTGCATGGCAGCATACACAGCCCGGATGTGTGTGCTAATATGCATTCTGAGTGCTTAGGTGGACCTGCCCTGCGTGTGATTATATAATGTCCTGTTTGTGTGTGTGTGACTACACACATACCCCGGGAGCACATGTCCATATACACACCCCGTGTGTGTGCTTGCCTACACACCCTAGGCACACATGTTCACAGACGCTCCCCGTGTGTGTGCTTACACTCACACTCAGGCTGTACCCACACCCGCACCTCCACACCGCAGACTTGCCACTCTGCCAGGACTCCGGCTGAAATGGCTCTCACAAGCCAACATCTTCCTTTTCCCTTGGAAAAGGACCGATGTAAAAAAAAGATTTAAAGTTCCTTTCTTATTTGCAAAATTGGAATTCAAACCTCTTTGCATTTGAAAATGACAAGTCCCAATTAGTCCAGGGATACAGTCCTCCGTTACTTTATTGTCCGCACAAAGTTCTCCACTCCCACTGGCGTACGTGTTTGCTGCCGACTGACCATGCTGCATACCGCTTCTGGTGTGTTTTCAAGGCTGGGAGCTTGTAGTGAAACTTGCTACTTAGCTGTCGCCATCCCAGGTACACACAAAATTTGAAACCATTTAATTTAATAGGAAAATTATTTAGGTTCATTTTTGTACTATTTTGCAGCTTAGCCCTTCTTACTATTGAAATCAGGTTTTCCCTTATAACTTGGCTGTACTACTCCCAGTTGTGGGCCACTGAACGACATTTTGGCTGACAGTGAGCCCAGGACATTAGAACGGCTTCCTGATGGCTCAGGTGAGGCTGCAGGGAGAAAGTCCGCAGGCAGGAAGGGCACAGCACCAGCTTTGCAAGCTTCCAGGTGCTCTCTCCAGAGCTTTCCTGGGAAAATTCCCCTTGCTGTCATTCCCAGCACAGTGTCTGCAGAGGATCAGGTCACCCTGAGGACACACTCCCAGGAAGAGCCTCCGGCAGGGCCTTGGGCAGCTGTCCAGGAGAAGGTGTGGCCATCACGGGAGTCACAGGGACACGGTGATATTGGTGGGCCTGACCCTGGGTAGGGTCACAAAAAAGGAATAGTGAAGTAGCGAATAGCAAAGTAATGAAAGGAAAGCATACAGAATACCAGTATAAAGGTGGTATTTTTTTATAGCTGTACAGTGTGTTTGTGTTATGAGCTAAGTGTTAATATGACAGTTAAAAAATTAGAGAAGTCAGAAGTTCATTAATTTAGAGAAATACTGTAATGTTTGGTTGAATTAGTGAGGAACATTTTACTATGAAGTCAGCCATGGTACACTTCCAGGTCAGAGGTCTCAGGTCTTCGAGTTGGTTCC